CTTTCTATATACATAACGAATTTTTTAATTCGGTTATGTATTTTCCGAATTTATTCATTACAAACAAAAAAATCCGTTATACAAAATTAGTTCTGATGATGAGACTAAATATTACAACGAACATAACCTTTAAGATCCTATAGTAGCCTTAGAACCGATAGAAATATTAAAAAACATCTACAAGAAATATGTGAACTCACCATTTAATTCAGGCCGAAAAAAAGCGGAACAAACATCTAGTTCCAAATGAATTAAACTAGAAATATAACCACATATTTAACATTTCATAGCACTAAGTTTTATTCTAGAGAAAACACAGCATGATTTACAGTAGTGCGCAAAATAAAAAACGGGCACATATAAAAAAAATGTCTGTTCCAGTAAATCGTACAGATATTATATTTCCGTCTGCGGCCCAGTAGCATTTGTTACCCGCACACTACATATTGTATGTGGTTGAATAATAGCCCGCAACACACTTGGGGATGAATTTCATTACGCCTTTATGTTTGAGAGCGAGAATTTCTTTTGTGTCCGTTGTTTTACCGCGATTTTTTATTTGATTTAAATCCAAGACGTCGAGAGCGCGTGGGTTTCTTCAGAAGCTCTTTATTTTAACACAAGGTCATTTCATTTGTAAGATTCCGCCTTTTCATTTCAATGTTAATTGGTTTAACTCAAAGTTTACTGAAATGCAATTAAATATTCTTCTAAAATTGTGCCACCATCTGCGAGCAACGATCCTTACTGTATTTTGAGCACAAGGCTAGATCGAAGGTCCCAAAAAATTAGAGAAGTTCATCGTTATTGGTCAAAAGAAAAATAGGTTGAGTTACAGCACCAATATGCAGGACTGATGCACTGAAAGAGGAAATGGGTGAAAAATGCACAGCTTCATATAGACTTTTTGTGATTACAACCCAACTCCGTAATGAGAAAACATAAAGAAGAATGTCCAATTACTGGAAAACGAAATCGAGTCAACACTATTATTATAGGTTATCAATAAACTTCTCTGTAATGAACTATCTCAGATCACGATCACGACAAAATATAGGACAATAATAGTTGTTTCAATCATACTAAACAAAAGCTCCCGTACGACTATGTCCGTAATCTATTAGCTGTAAACGGCCAGTCCTCGTTCACGAATGAAATAGCACAAAAGTCTTACTGCAAGTCACGGTTTCGGGTACATTACTCATTTGTACGTGGCCCGATGTCATGTTTCCGTGAGGGACCACTTACAATGCAGGGTTCCGTGGTTATACAAACAAGCGTTTAGATGTACTCGAGACACGCCCCTATTTAATATTATTTATCTCTGACTATCTCTTCGGGGACAAAGTCGTGAGTAATACACGTTACGATTATTATCTCTAAGTATCTGAAGAACAAATCAAGAATATTAGAACTAGCTTGTATGATGAATACAATATGTTACAAAATGGACGATGAAAGAGAGAAAGTTCAAGAATGAAGATCGTTTGCATTTGAATCTCCCTGCTTAGCCGTAATGAATTAAGTTGAAAGATAAAAACATATAGATAATAGAATGATAAATATCTGTCTTTAATTGACTTATTGTTTGATAGAGAGCTTCCTTGTAGATTTCGTGATGTCAAATGACAACAAAGAAAGTATAGCTACTGGTTCAAGCCATGCTATGCTTAGAATATTCCAATTAGTGTATTATATATTGAAAAACATCAAAATATTAATAGAAAGAGATAATATTTTTCTATTTGAAGAGACTTGGTATTCTTTAAACGTTACGTTTACATTAATTTTTTTCAAGTAACATGTACGGCATTGGTAATGAATGCTGTAAGCCAAAATTGTCAAGTATTGTACAACACTGAAATTGTAGAATAGTACAAATGTTTTTTATAATGATTATAATAAGAAATTTCAGCGAGTGCCAAGAATCAATGCCAACAATACAATAGCTAAGCTTAAGTTGCAAGAAAATAAAGATATAAATATTCTGCATAATAATACCCAAGTACTATAAGAAATAGCTACTACAACAGCTATAAATAGAAACTTCGTAAGATTTTTACTACTTCCATTAGCGACATGGATAATACTTGTAGGTTACTTTGTATACCTACAGTGTGAGGACTAAATGATATACTTCATGGGGTCAGAGATTACATTAGTTCTTCAGACCATAACACGGCTACATAGGCATTCACACCGGAAACAGATAAGACAATGATAACTACCCAGGTGTGTCATATAAAACTACAACGTGTCATTATAATTGTAAATAACGAAACAGCTCACAGATAAATAATTCCATGTTGGAGTTAGCATTGAAAATAAATAATGTGAAGATAAAAATACAAATTTCAAATAATATTCAATTTTAACATAAAAAAATGATGAAAACTCTTTATAAGTCTTTTAAATATCATTAAAGGGAACTGGAAAACTCCAAGTCAAACCCGTAGTTCCGGGTTGCGCTCTCAGTCGCTGATATTGAGAACTGACAATCCTTTGAAGTATCTTTTTTCGTAACATATTTTAAAATGTTCATTATATATTTTTAAAAATTTTAATATACATTTTTCAATTGAACTCGGCTAGGAAAATATTTATATATTTTATTTTTAATTTTGTTCATTACTTTTATAATGACGACTTTCTTACTTAGTATCAGATATGCTTATGCAAATCGGACATCGAATTTCGATTGGACCAATTTAAGAAAAAACTTTCAAAATATTTCCAACCTTCAGATTCCGTTGTCTGGTTTCTTACAATACAATACATACTATGGTCTGTATTAACAGAACATAATGAGAATGTAAACAAACTAATAGTTGACTGGACCATAAAACAATTTGTTGATGTCCAAATAGTAGCGTAGTACAAATCATAATTAGATTAACTGATTAACGTTTCGACTTGTTACAAATTTCATTTAAAGATTCTCTGATAATTTCTACAAAACTTTGTTACCTTTACATTAAACTGTATTGAAACCGACTACAGTTTAGGAGACGGTCTAGCACTTTGGTTTATAATTGTTTTAACTTTTAGTCTAGACGTCATTTAATTTAAAAGCGCCTTTAGGTAACAAGCTTAACGTTACATCGCGACTAGTAAACCCCCCTCCCCCCGGCTTCATACGAGTGCAAATTAGTATGTACTGTACATACAAACTTTCAGTAAAAAAATATCCAAATGACAGTGGAACCTGTAACAAATTACGTCGTGTTGCATTATTTAGAAGTAAACGGAGTATCCGATAGACGTAAACAGCGACTTTATATTCAACCGACTTTAAAAAGGTTGTAAATTCGGTTGTATTTTTTAATGTTTATTACCTCATATTTATTAATATAATTATGAGGTAAATAAGACATTTTATCAAAACCAGTTCAATAGTTTTGTTTAGTTTTGTTTAGTTTTTTTTTTTTTTTTTATGGAACGAAATCTTATACTCGTACTGTAATACTATTTAGAGAGGAAAAAATATAGAACATTAACAATCTATCACAGCTATGAACCTTTTTTTTTTTTATAAAATACCTGTCCCTCGCTAATAATGTAGTTTTCTATAGGTAAAAGAATTTTCAATATCGGTTAAATATTTTTTTCTTAGTTCATTCATTACAAACAAAAAATCAAATCTTTCCTCTTTAAAAAATTAATTCAGATACACTAGTTCGATGTACACGTGCATCTCACCGACCGTCCGTTTGTCACGACTTCGAAAGTCTATAAAAACGTTTAGCTTTAAAAGCTTCTTCGACTGATATCATCGAAGTGACGTTTTATTAACGATGGCAGCACAGAGATTAAAAACATTTTAAATGTACTCGCGTTGGGACAAATACGGTGTGTCCGAAATTATAAATGATACTACTTAATACATATGTGTGTGCTATTACACTAACACGCGTGGCAATTATTTATTTTTTCACAATGGGAATTGAATTTAGTGTGGTAATTATGAATGCCATTTATCAGTGTGAAGTTGTTTCAATTAACATGTTTAATATATTTTTTATGAATAATATTTCAAATGGCTCTGAAAAGCCTTATCGTATTTATAAATTATTAAAAATATATAAAAACTATTACCAAGTGGGGTCGACATCTCCATGAGCCATCTTTTCCTTTTCCGTAGGTGTCATAAGACGCGACTAAGAGAAGTTAATTGTAGAGGGATGGGCAGCAACATCCCTCTTAAAACATCACTAAAAGTCTTACTGCGGTTGCCAACCCGCAACTGCCAAGTGTGGCAACTATTAACAAAACTACTCTTAAGGAGAAGACTTATGTTGAGCAGTGAATACTTAACGGCTGATGTATAAAAATGTCAGCAAATTAGGGGATTTCACATATAACCGAGCATTTAACAGCTATTAGGGAGTTAAAGATATACCATTAAACCGAGTTGAGAATTCATTAATTCTGAATAGCATTATTTAATTGTTAACATGATGACAAAGCGACACAAAAGACAAACAGACTTGGAATAGGTGGAAAAAAGAACTATACCCGAAGACGAGTGCGACAAATACAGACTACTACCACTAATATTAGAAGTTTAAAAATTTGTATAGATGTTCAAATGTTTGCTACTCAATTAGGGTTAAACGGCTGGAAAGATTTTAATGAAATTTAAATTAGTAGTAGGTAGTATCCTAAATTTCTAACTAAATATATAGAATTAATTATATATTGATGTACGCGGGTAGTAACCACTAGAAAAAATAAATAATTATATAGATACAAATAATTGACATAGTATTTCAGGCACCATTTCTATGACTAATAAAATAAAGTATAAAATTACAGTTATTCACAATTATAGGTAAAATATTAATCAGAACGAATGACGTCATGTTTACATAAATAAAATTGTTGTTGGTTTTATTGACAAAATCGCAAAATAGAAACATTTATAATGTTCTTTTTTCTTACACATTTTACATCTTTTCTCGAGGGGAACAATATAGGGTTTAATTCGTTCATTTTCATACCTGATAAGCAATCTTCTCAAATACCGTAATCGGCTTTTCCATGCAGATATAAACAATCTACAGACAACCTCGGTTTATTTTAGTCCACTGGGTTCTTTGTGACAGCGATTGCAAAGAATTTTGTATAAAAGGTATCCTATAATACGAATGAGCGAAAATAAGTAATTTTGGAATGTTTTATAGCCATAATGTAGATCTATGTTTATATATAAACAAAAGATAGTCTTATGTTGTTGTAAATGAATAGTATTAAATGTAGTAAATTATATTATAATGATCTATAGGTTTTAGTGCATAAAATTACAAATAAACATTATTACACTGCCTAAACAATATTTAATCACTAATCCCCTTATTCATAAAAACTAAAACCTTTTAGAAACCTATTTTCACTATGTAGTATCACTTTCCTTAAAATTAAGAATTTAGCACTAAACACTATTTATATAAACAGTGTTTTAAATATTTTTTGTTACGTTAGTGTTTATATTAAGAAAAACAAAACTAAAAGAACTGTAACCTCTAAACCGCTTGTATTATTATTTCTATTTATTGTATGAAAGATAAGCCAGATATCAGCCCTTTTTAATCATATTTTATTTTTAGAGAATCCTGTAACCCAGTCGATCTGCTATCTATATGGATGTATTACGATTTTGGAGATTTACTTATTTGATCAATAGAGTTTGAACATATTGAAAATCTTCCGTATTCTAGTATAATTACATTCAAAAGTCAATACTAACGGGATTTAGGGATCACATCTGATCTGATTCTCCTATATTAACATGAAATTTTAAAACGCTCATATGGCTTTCTCCGAGCACTGCTATGACTTCAGTTAGTTCAAGTTAATAAGGCCAATAACATTGCAGTTGTTTAACAAAAGCATATAATAAAATCATACTATTTACAATCATATCTATATATATATATATATATATATATATATATATATATATATATATATATATATATATATATATATATATATATATATATTGATATGACTCATGCATATATTATTTCGTAAATAACCAGCTTGGTACTATTTCTTAAAAATACACAGATAAAATAGAAGGAAATCGTGATGATAAAACATACAGTCATATTACATGTGATACATAATGTAAATAGATATATAATGTACATTGACTATTTGTTTTCATAAAACTAACCATATGAGAACAAATCAAAGTCGCTAAGCCAACTAATTAAAGGACTATAGTCAGAGAGTCACGATATGATCGTGATAAAATCCAAAATGAGGATATTCACAGAAGAACCAAAGTGAACGATATAACCCAAAAGATTAGCAAGCTATAACAATGGGCCGGCTGAATAATCAGAATAACTGAAGCGGTAGGAAGTCTTCGAGTATTCGCAAGCGCAATTTAAGCGACCCCCACTATATGGAGCGACAGTCTTGAAAATATTGCAAGGATACCCTGCATTCAGACAGGCAATAAGAAAGACATATATTCAGGAACAGAATATGGAAGAGTGAAATGATAATTTACTATGAACGATATCATTCAGGAGCTCGTAAATTTTTCTATACTACCGAAGTTCCCTGAGCAACTTTAGATATTAGCCAGAGGCTGAACGCCAAATTCAGCTAAACGTGTCTTAACTTTGCAAAATCTACCGGACCGGACCCTCAAAAACAGTTGGTAACCCAATGAACTGTCATTTCTAATTTGAAATTAATTACAGACTAAACTGTCGCCGGCAGGTTGGTAGCGAAATAATTACTTTTCTTAGCGGGCTTGTCATCACTGCGGAGTTATCGACATGAATACCCGGCGGTTTTGGTTGAAAACAGATTATTAAAGCCCTTATTTTTTTTATTAGCTGCAAACTTTTTTTTTTTTAATATAGCAATGTGATAGATTGGAAACTTCTTTATATTAAAAATGCGGGCTTCAAAAGGAGGGAAATGTCAATCATTTAAGATTTTATTAAAGGAAAAACAGACTAATCTTGACAATATTAACATGTAACTCTATGGAAATCCTGATTAAAAAAATAATTACAAAAATTTAATTAAGAATTAACCAAACAATCACATCGCGTAAAAACATTAATTCGGTCTAAAAGCCATCTCCTTTTTTAGGTCAGTTGAAATTCAGCTTAGACTATTACTACTTACTACGCATGATGTTTGAAGGGTAGCATTAGAAGAGGAGATCACACTTTGATACCAAATAGTAACGTAAGGGTATTCTAACAGTGCATTATAACATATGGTATAACAATACGACAGTTGTTTAACCGAGTGTGGACAGGTTTGAATACTTTGGAAAACTTGAAATCTTCCCAAATCTTTTATAAATAATTGGATATGAATCTTCAGCGAAACGCACAATCCCATCTCTAACAACTTAACCCTTTTGAGGCGAAACCTAAAAACACAGACTCGAGCCAATTCAGGAAAATTCGTTCCCTAAATTAATCCGGTAAGGAATCGAGTCCGGGTCTTCATATAAGCAAAGCAACATGCCTATCACTGCACCAAAGAGATCGTCAAACTTTGTTTTGACTGCACTTAATCTGTAAAATGCACAATGGAAAGCCAAAATAAATACACGAAATTATTAATCTTTTATTTCGCACATTCATCTATAGAACCCTAAAAATTATTTGGTTTAAGCCACGCCGTGGTATTTACGAACACGCCAAGTATTTACATTAATTCAGGTAATTAATAATGTTCATAAGATTTATAGTACTAATTTAATATTAAGAAAAAAACTTTCCGACAAATCCACCATCCATTTCATACTTAAAACATAAACACTGGACTTTATTTATTTGGCAACGTTTAATGAAGGGTTGAGACAGAGAAAAGTTTGTATTTATTAAAAGCTCTCCTAACCAGTACTGGGCAGGAGTTTACAACCGTAATGAACCTTAAAAAAGTCAAATAACTTTCTCCCAAATTTAATAGACGTTAAGCAACCTTACCCGTAGTGTGTAACCGTAATTTTTATGACTTATTTTTAGGGTTCCGTGCCTATGGTTCTTTATTTCCTCAATAAGCATTTTTATGAGTCATCACCCACGTACCGGTAGTATATTTGGTCGACAGATATGAACCGTCATGTTTATATACTTATTTAATAATGCTATCTAGTGAGATCTTATAGGGATAAGATAAAGCGAATATAAAACGTGTACAAACATGTGTTTGTTTAAACTTATCCTTGCTGGTTAATGTGATTAAATCATAGATTTTATTCTTTATACTTTTGATACAACAAATTGTTTTATGCATTTATTTGTTTTTTTTTTCTTTGGTTAATAATGTAAGAAATCAATGGATTATAGGCGACTTAGTGCAGTTTATGCAGTCTGTGATGGAGGATACATTCAGCACTAGAGAATTAATGACGGAAATTGCGATGATGACGATTGTAGCTTTTCGCGAATGACGCATCGTGTTATCGCATCCTTCACGACTAAATAACATGATCACGATATTTGCTTTACATACATCTATTAGTAATAAAGTCATAAAACTTGACTGTTGGAATTTCCTATTTTCTAACAATTTATAGTCTTCATATTTCGTAGGTAACTGTATTACATATATGCACGGCAAATTTCAGTGATTGCTTGAGCCGTCAAAGGGCCAAGAGGTAACGAACAAACAAACTCACTTTCCATATTTTTTGTTTCAGTGGCACTCAGAATTACGAGTGTTTGGAGACGGAGGAAAAAAATTGTTATAAAGGAATTGGGTCAACGCATTGTGGACAGAGGCCATGATCGCAATTCCGGATTGAATCTAGTTAAAAGACCATCACCAGCAATTCAACATGGATTATAAGAACCTTTGGATGGGTACGGGAAGCAATATTTTTTTTTTATTAAGAGTACACAATATAAAATGAATTTATTATTTTATTTACATATAATATAAATTACATTTAATAAAATTCTTTTTAATAATTTATAATAAAATTATATTGTAATATCCAAACTCGTTTACACGATGCACTTTATTTCAGTCAGTTTAACCACAAAACATTATATGAAATCGCAATGTTTTCATTCTTACAAAGAAAAGTCTTTAATTAACAGGAAAACATCATAAAACAAAATCTCCGTCACATCAAAATGACAATTAGTGGTAAAATTCGATTCTCTAATTGAGCGACCATCGTGTCATGGTTTAGCGAGTCGGCGGCCGTTTCCTGCTGCCCTCGCCAGGGGGTGTAGCGCCTCAGCTGTTATAAATTCGTTTTGGTTGAAAACCGATGGGAGTTGATCAAATTTGTCTTCGTTATAAATGGTTTTAGAGAAACGTAATTCGTAGATTTTATTTGATGTTTTAAAAAACAGCTTTCCTCGACTTTATTGAATCGTGTAACAGATTCATCAATTTGTTTTTTATTATAGAAATATACATTTTAATAGTGATGTAAATTAATGAAAATTGGTGGTTATTATCATTAGTTATATCACCAGAGGGAGACTTTGTACAAAAGTCGATTGCTTGGGTACCTCTGTCCCATTCGTGTTTCAACCGTGAAGCAGTTGTGTTTGCATGGCTGTGTTTCGGTTTGAAGGGACGGATATGGCGTGAATTTACTGGGTACATAGGAATAACACCTGAGGCCTCAGGAATGGCAACGTATGGGGGGTATCATGGGCGAAACAGTATACTCTGTTATGTCCATGGTACTACTCATGTCTATAGGCGACGGTTACCACTTTCCATCGGGTGGACCGTCAGCTTGTTTGCCATTCTAAGTTGTATAAAAAAAAATGTTAAGTAAATGTCAACCATCGAAGTATCATTCTTTTATTCTTACTAGGTAATATTATAAATATAAAAATGGGTTTGTTTGTTGCCTTAACGGCTTAATCAATCTGTATGAAATTTGATATATACGTACTATATAAGATGGAGAAGAATACAGGCTACTTTATCTTAGTCAGTAAACATTCCCTGTCACGCGGACAAAGTCACGGGTAAGCTAGTAAATAATATAGTAAAGCTGGTAATTAATAAAAAAAGGTATCTTTTTTTATTTTTAATGTATAACTTAATGTATCCGTCTCTTTATATAGAACTATTCTAATCATCTTCAGTGAATTGTTAATTTTGATATTATCTTTTTTTTTTTGTTATTTATAATTTATGTATATTTATTTGGTAGTAAATAAAATTCTATTCAATTGTAAATTATTTTATTCACCACACAGACACAATTTTCTGTATTTATTTCTTTAACTCTTAGTGACTTAATAGATTAGTCCACAAAAAATTTTACATACATGTAACAAATACATGGTAAGGAGATATCGACATGGGATACTTTTATCCCGGTCACGCGAACGCAGTTGCTAGCACATGCAGTGACCCTGTTTGCTAGTGCAATAATCTCGTAAGTTGCCACTATGTCGCAAAAATGACAATATACGACGGATGAGCTTGGTTACAAAATTGAGATACTGCAGCATAGTAACGATCCGTCGTAAACTTTAATATTTTTAACGGCCCACATTTTTTAACGAATTTACCAACTTTTTATGAATAACGCTAACTTTTTATGAATATCACCTGCAATAAAATTCACACCACTAACGGTGAACGACAATTTGTCGTTCACTAAGCCGTTACTTTGTATAAAAGTCTTACTAAAGCTCGTTGCGCATAACACCCTAACTAGCAGTTAAATTGCTCTGTCAGTTACCGTCATTAAAATAGTCAGTCATTAATTTACATTCCAGCTAAGCTTACACGATGAGAAACATTACGCTTTTTAAATAACTTTAAAAAGGCCTTGATTTAGAATTCAATACACGATAACATCACCAATTCTGAACTTATTTTTATTAATCTTTTTGTACGTGGTTCAATTTTGTATTACATACTTATTTAAAAATAAATAATTGTAATGGAATCTAAAGTATTTCTAAAATACTTCTACTTTATGATTATAACATAATTCATAATATTATCTGTTTTTGTTTGTTGGATTCGTTGTGAATTGATTATGCGAATTGGAAGGAACTGATTTCTGATCCATAGATAACGCTATTTCAGAAATCAGAACTACATAATTATTTTCGTAAGCTGATTTATGCAATAAACTATTATTACTATTACTATATCTACAATAACTATGAGAGAAGACCCTATAAGTACTATAGTCACGACTGAAAGAACACATAATTACTTATGCCAATAGGTTTTCACTCACTACTTAACACATTTTATTAAATTTAATAAAAAAATTATACCAATTAATCTACTAATTAATACCTTCCGCCAACATCACATTTTTCAATTTCAGAACAATATTGTATATCTTCTCCTATTCAGAATTTTTCAGCTATGAATTGACCTTCAGCCGCTTATAAACCCTTCCTGATTAAATTGCCAACTGCGCTCAAACCCTCCTTAATTTAAGGGGAGATAATTATATTTCTTTTATGAAAAAAAGGAGTTATTAAGAATATCTAATTTTACATTATCATAGTTATAATTGTAATTGGAGTAATTAATGGTATTTTTATGGTATCGTGGTGATAGTACAATACTGTTTCCCTATATTTCGACATAGGTATGGATTTATTATTTAATTAATTATATATTTCTGCTAAACGTGGGTGTCGTAAGAGACGACTAAGGGAGGGCGAAGGATGGGCAGCAGCGTTCCTTTTAAAACATCTCTAAATCCTAACTGCGTAAATAAATTACCCACTATGCTTTCAAGTCAAATGTTTACATAACAAAATTTGAGTAAACGTTACAATAAAATTTAATGTACACAATCTTTTATACTTAAATTATGCAATTTACAAAATAGACGCTAATAATCCAACTAAATTTTTAATATAAAATAAACAGTAAAAATTAAATCAAAATCCAAAATTGCACTTTACTGGTGATAAAAATGTTAAGTACATTATATTTTAAATTCATGTACCGTCTGACATCCGGTGTATTAGGCGGAATAAATAAAATGAAGACCCTTAATTGTTAAAATACTATAATTAATTTAAGAGCTGTAATATAACAAATATAAATAATCGTAGAAATATAAGGCTGCTAAAATCATAACCTTCCATTTCATAGTCGGATAAAAAAAATACATGTTCGCGTTATCGTGTATGACCGTGACACCATGCGGGCTCCGTCTCCATTGTGTAACGATTTTATACAATAATTATGAATAAACAGAGGTTTGAGTGTAACAATAGAATTCAATTACCCTGGCCTGTTGCATGGATTTATAGCGCGAGGTACAATAGCCCAGCGGCGCTCAATTGCCGAGCACCAGAATATCTTTGAAGAAAAGTTATTTAGGTGTACCTGAATTGATCCTACATAAGTTATGAAGTAGATACTTTTAATACAAAATAAGGCAGGATAAAGTATTCACTTTTCAATAATATTTTTTTATTGTACCTTTTACGTTTTTGAATAATGTTACATATCAAAAAAAGGGCAAGCTGAGAATAGAAGTTTATAAATAGATTGATATTACCATCTATCCTTGACAATTTCAGTTAGACTGGAATGAATGTATTTTACATACTTTTTCTATATTTTTACATTTCTTTGTATTGTAAAATATTGCCTACTAATAAATAAATCACAAAAATAAATGCGGTCAATAAATAAATATAAATTAATGTTTCTAATTTTCTCTTTATAAGCTATCCAAAATGTACTTAATTCTAATTAACTATAACATGTTTTTTTTAATTTAATTAATTTTAAATTACAATACTTAAACATATTTAAATGTCATTAAAAAACGTAAGACAATTCCTAATTTTTCTCGTGAAACAAACGGCAAAAATGTCGTGCTGTGAAAGACAATGGACACAGTTCGTAAGTACAACCCGTTGAGACTACAAAGGTTGTCGAGCGGCCCCCGGTCGACGACCCCGGCTGACCGACGCCCGCGCAGCTCACATTCGCGTTTCACGTTGACCATTCTTAAAATCAACGTGTACAAACCGTATACCACAGATACACAGATAAATATATTAATAGACATAGCAAGTGCTTAAATTTATTGAAAACTAGCGACCCAACCCGGCATCACAGTTTCCTTTTTGTTTATAAAATACAAGCCTCGCTGATAATGTAGCTTTCTAAATATAAAAGAATTTTTAAAGTTGTTCCAATTTCTTTTTTGAATTAGTCAAAAAAATCAAATGTTACTATATACCTATAGGTAATATTAGTTTAAACTAAGTGTCTCACTACTAAATTACATGCGTTGATGTTGCAAAAACCAATTTAATGTTAGCAAACACCTCCCTCACCCAAAAAAACTCTAATGCTATTTTCGTCAATTCATCGTATTTTTTGGACAGGAACTCTGAATTGAATTTTCATCGAGCCAATTAAGGTTCATTGAGTCTAATTCAGACCCAAAATTGACAGTTGCGACATCTATATAAAACCATATCTATGCCTTGCACAAAACGTATTGTTCAATGTTCGACACGAACCATTTGAAAGTCAACGGACGTTTAAATCAAGCGCATTTATATGATTTGCTTCACACGTAGGTATTATTCTGTAACTTGATTCTAGGAAATTATATGTACGTTATAAGCTATACATAGATATGGTTTGAAATAATTGAATTTACTAGAATAGTTTCATTACAAAATGTGTGTGTTTACACAATAATTTGTATATTTATTTATTACATCAAAGGTTTTTTATCGCCCCCGTTGGATTCATGCAAGAGGCAATATTTGTATGTTTGTTTCTTCCGTTTATTTAATTGTTTAGTACATTAACACAGTAATAAAATAAATACACAACGGCAACACATATGCAATTTCTCTGACATTGCGGATGCCTATTGGCGGTGGTAATCACATACGATCAGGTGAATTGCATGATCGTTTGCCACCTATGTTATAAAGAAGAGACTGAATACAAAATCAAATGTTACAACATTTTAAAATCAAACTTGCCGAAGTCAGAAATATTAAAAAAGGAAGTAGAAAATAATGTTGGCGATTTGAATGAAGCTAAGAATATGATAACTACTTTTGTAGCAATATTATCATTATTTATTTATTTAATGTGCTTATTCTTTACATAGTTGTTATGT